GAAATAAAGTAAAGCATTCTGGACTGGGCACCACAGCTAATTCAAAATAGCTTTAATTTAGCTGTTTTAAGAAATATTGAACTGAAGGTTTGAGTAATCTTAGCTAAGAATTATCTAAAAAAACATGTTCTGAAAGCTAATTTTAACTTAAAGAGCCATTTTTAGACATTCAAAGCTAAAGATTAGTGAAGAAGTGGGCAAAAGCAATCGTTACCAAACTCTAAATGCTCATCAAAAAATTCAAGACGGCCACCACAGCTTTATTTAAAAGCTGTTAATTCAGTCATTTAAGATTTGATTAAATTTGTTGTTTAATAGCTAAAAGTAATCACATGCCGATTGCCAATGCCAATCCCAAACTAAGCTAACATTAATGCTAATGCTAATTTTACAAAGGGCTATCCATTCAGCCATTTTTAAACATAAACAGATGAAAACTTATAGTAAAGGAGTATCAGAGAACAATTTTTAATGAAATTAAATGCAAATACAAGTCCCCACCCACTTATTAATTTTTTGGGGGTCTTGCCACCCCTCAGGCTTTGCCCCCGACAGGGAATACAATCAAAATCTACTTATTTACCACCATAATCATATTTTTTTAAATATTTTGAGTTCTTACACAAAGTTAATCTAGCCATTAGAATAAAAAAACAAGTACTTTCCACACAACTTATCAAATCAAAGCCAGTTATTTCTAATCTGCTTAAAATATGCCAAGAGACAGTTTTACTCTGGTCTACAGCTTTATACTGTATTCCAGAACTGATAGTGGCATCCCTAGGTCTAAAAATAGCAGATGAAATCCAAGGTGGAAGCACATTAAAGATGATAAATGTGGAAGATTAAAGCCAGAGGTAAGTAAATACTGAGCYCTAAGAAGTGGACTTCAAGGGAAGCTTAAATCACTCCTGCCTTCCATCAGTTCTTCTCATCTGGTCTTCTGTCCCCCTCTTTCTTTGTTGACTCATCTCCTACTCTTCTCTGGCCAACATTTCAATATTTATAGGATGAAAGGAAAACTGATTCAAACACTTCCTTGTCCTGTTAGTCATCTTGGTTTATTTTTTTCCAATTTTTACCATTTCTGACAAATTGTGAAGTCAGATTAACAGGACAACAATAAGTCCAAAACTAAACTCCCCAAGGAGACAGAGCTCACTGTATAAATATAAA